TGCCAATTGGTTTTTGGTGAGAACCTCACTTGGGTTTGCTGGTGTGGGCGTTGGCTCGGTCAATTTGCTCATTATTTTCCCTACAACTAGTGATCAAGTATCGAAACAAAAGAAGAGAATAATAAACACTTAATTCGGAACACAACAATAAACGAAAACGATCAACTTCAAATTACTTTAAAACAAAATAAACGATTGGTTCTCCCCTACAAAGTTTTAACAACAAAGTTTTCAATTTGTCATCAATAGACGTTTTGTCGTTAAAATATTTGTCGAAAATTATCCTTTTTTTTTTGTGACGATTTGAAACTATCGCTTAAGGCGTTGCATTACTTGCACTGTCCTGCTTTGCAAGGGTTCTTCTTTCTCGTGCGGTCTCCAACTTGCCATTTTTATTAGTGAAACAAAAGGAAGAAAAACTAAGCTCAAAACAAATAAAAATAAAAGTAAAACAAAAATGCAATTAAATTTAAAATTAAGCAACGTCAATATAAATATAAAAAACTTCCAACATCATCGCTGAAAACTTGTTTGCTTAAGACCACAAGTGTACGGTGTCAATAAAAAGTAGTGATAAAGGATTACACTCTAGTTGTACTCTCATGTTCATCCGAATGTTTTTATATTCATTTTGTTTTTCATATGAAAATAAAATTTACTTTACTGTTGTAAATAATATTATTATTAGTGAATGACAATTATAACCCTACAACTCTAATTATTACTAGTGATTTTCTTTGTTATTCTCTCTATTTTCCTCTATTTGCTCTCTAATTTATAATACAATTTTTAAGTATAATCATCTATCTGATGACATACGAAATACATATGCATTAATTCCACCTTTTTTTTTATATACACGTGAATTTTATTTATTTATTCATTTACATATATATTAATTCGACCGCAATCATTGCATTTTGATTCACGCCTTTTGATATGTGGTATTCACACCTTTAACTTTTGTGTATATGTAATTCATTTTGAAATTTTTATTCTAGAGTTATTCATGCCTTTAACTTCTATATATGTAAATTCACGTGTTTGATATCTTTTGCATGTTGATAAAAGATTTAGCCAACAAAGAATGTAATCAATTCTGTTAACTTCCATATATGAATATTTTTTTCCTAATGCATATTTGGTAATTAATTTTTTATATCACATCCTATCAGTATGGTAATTAATATTTTTAATCTGATTAAATATTTTTAGATATTCCTTTACAAACTTTAAATTGATAATCCATCATATTACAGCTCCTAAAATATCACAACATTATAATTAGTATTTTAGGGAAATATTATTTGCTCCTGAAGAGCATGTATTATAATTTTCAAAATTTTAGAAGAATATTGACATATTACTTTTGAAGATTGAATAATAAAATACAATATAATCTTGAAATATCACATGTTTTGAAGAATATACTATTCTGAATTCATGTTTATCCTTGAAGGAAAACATATAACTAATGTCATGAGGACATTGATTAGTTTGACTACTTGAATGATATATGATTATATAATGTTTAATTATATTCTTTGAAATTAAATAATTATTATATTGAACTAAAAGTTTAATTTGACTTTATTGTTTGACATAATCAGTTTGTTATCACTGGATCAATAATGATGCGAAATTAAAAATTTAAATGGATAAGAATCAGAAGATTCTTCAATTGAATGAAATGATGTTTGATCTCTTTCTTGAAAACTTTTCATTAACTATCACTAGCTAAAATAGCGATTGAATTCTTTATATTTCTGAAAATTAATCCGAGTAACAAATGGAATCCCATAATCCTCCACGGTGATCATATAGATAATATTTGTATCTAATAGATTTTATACATATACTGGGCCTGTCTTAGCCCCATTTGTTGTTTAGAATACATTTTGAAATAGTAAATTGATGAAAAATGTGCGGTTAAAAATAAAGAATTTTTTTTTGGGTTGTGTGTAATGTTATTTAACCCTTGTTTGAGCCCTATTATCTGGTAAATAATATATTTTGGAATAGTAGATTGATGGAGAATATGTGGTTAAAAAATAAGAAAAATTTTGGATTTATTTGTAATATTATTTTATTGAAGAATGTGTGATTAAAAAGAAGAGAAAAATGTGTTTTGAAAATAATGTGGATCAAACAATATCTTAATTGATGAATGTGTAGTCGAAAAGAAGAGAGAAAAATGTATTTTGAAAAAAATGGGATCAAACAAGGTTTAGATAATTGTACGATGTTCGCAATCTCAAGTTTTCGAAATTACTGCTCAAATTATGAGCATAATTTTCAGATTATACGATCAAGACTGTGTCTTGTTAATACTGGTGATCCTAAATTTTAACATTTTAATAAGTGTCAGTTGAGATGTCGATAAATAGTTTATCACTATTATTTTTTAAATGCCTTCAATTAATTGAGAACAAAGTATTTCATTTCTGTTTAGAGTGCTATTACGCATCATACCAATATTATAGTTCTTCCAATTATAACTTGGCTTATTGTCACAACATAAATTTTCATCAAATTATTTGATAGTGGAATATATGTACAATTAATCCAACGCATTGCGTTAAGATGAAAAGTGAAGAATGTTGAGAAGAAATACGTAGTTTAAACCCTTATTTGAAATGTGTGATATTTAATAACACAATTTGCGAAGACTTGTGTAAATTGATAAATTATCATATGGTGGATGTAATCATAAATCTCTATTTTGTTAGCCTGATAATGCATGTAATTTGATATGCATATAATAAATTTGANNNNATTTGATATGCATATAATAAATTTGACTATAGTCGCTTTATCTGACAATAGTCAATTCATCTGACATGGCTATTAATGTTGCGTCGAAAGATTTAATATGCTTGAAGCATATAATTTAAGTGATTTTTACATTTGTAATGAATGTCTATAACCTAAAAGACATTTACCTTCAAAACATTACTTTTATATGCACAAGAATCTCGAAGAGATCAACAAGAGCTACCTTTCGAATCATCATGTTATTACAATAATCAAATGTTGATAAATATTTTGTACGAAGACGGTGTTATTTGAAGTTTATAACAAGACAACACGAAACGTACTTATCAAAATTGTAATATTGAAGATATTGACGTACAAGATAATAATGAATTGATACAAGGATCGAGATTAGGGAGAGCAGCTGTACTCTTTTTTCTTTGATCAAGTTTTATCCCACTAAATTTTCTTGATAATATTTTAACGAGACATTTTTGTAATGTGTCATTGAAGGAGGAATATTGTAAATAATATGATTATTAGTGAATGACAATTATAACCCTACAATCCTAATTTTTATTACCATTGTATCCATAATTCTTCCCTATA